TCCACGAGATGGATTGACACAGTGGCTGCAACAATGAGTTTAAGCATAACAACGATTGTGAGGATGGTGGAAGACCAGACATTATTTCGTTCTGTTGTGTGCAGGGTCGCTATGAGTTGGAACTGACTCAACAGCACCTAGCAACAACAACAACAATATTCCATTGCATGTATGTGTCACATTTTGTTTATCGGTTCATCCTTTGATAGACATTTAGGTTGTTTCCACCTTTCTGCTATTTTGTACAGTGCTGCAATAAACATTGGTGTACAAGTATCTGTGTTTCTGCTTTCAGTTCTTTTGCATATATACTTAGGAGTGGAATTGCTGGATCATACGCTAATTCTATGTTTAACTTTTTGAGGAACCACCAAATTGTTTTCCACAGCAGCTGTACCATTTTTCATTCCCACCAGCAATGGATGAGGGTTCCTGTTTCTCCAAATCGTAGCCAATACCTGTTGTTTTTCTGTTTGTTTGGTTTTTTTAGTTATAGCCATCCTGTTGTTGTTATTGTTACGTGCCGTCGAGTCAGTTCCGACTCATAGTGACCCTTTAGGACAGAGTAGAACTGCCCCATAGCGTTTCCAAGGAGTGGCTGGTGTGGGTGTAAACTGATATTTCATTGTGGTTTTGATTTGCATCTCCCTAATGATTAACAAGAGCCCTGGTGGTGAAAGAGTTAAGAATTTGGCTGCTAACCAAAAGGTTGGCAGTTCAAATCCACCAGGCACTCCTTGGAAACCCTATGGGGCAGTTCTACTCTGTCCTATAGGGTCTCTATGAGTTGGAATGGACTCCATGGCAACAGGTTTGGTTTGGTTTAATGACCAATGACGTTGAACATCTTTTCAGGTCCCTCTTGGCCATTTGTATTCTTTGGTGAAATGTTTGTTCAAGTCCTTTGCCCATTTTTTGATTGAGTTGTTTGTCTTTTTGTTGCTAAGTTGTGAGAGTTCTTTATGTATTCTGGAATTTAAACTCTTATTCAATATATGGTTTCCAAAAATTTTCTCCTGATCTGTAGGTTGTTTCTTCTCTTTCTTGATAAAGTCCTCTGAGGAACAAAATTTTTAAATTTTGATGAGGTCCCATTTATCTATTTTGTCTTTTGTTGCTCATGCTTTCAGTGTCATATCCTAGAACCCATTGTTAAAAACTAGGTCCTGAAGAATTATCCCAATGTTTCTTCTAAGAGTTTTATGGTTTCAGTTCTTACATTTAGGTCTTTGATCCATTTTGAGTTAGTTTTTGTACATGCTGTGAGGTATGGGCCCAGGTTCATTCTTTCACTTATGAAAATCTAGTTGTCCCAGCACCATTTATTAAAGAGACTATTCTTTCTCCATTGAAGAGACTTAGCAAAATCTATTGACCATAGATGTGCAGGTTTATTTCTAGACTCTCGATTCTATTCCATTGGTCTATATATGTCTATCATTAGACCAGTACCAGACTGTTTTGATTACCGTAGCTTTATAATATGTTTTGAGTTCAGTAAGTGTGAGTAGTCCTACTTTGTTCTTCTTTTCCAAAATTGCTTTGGCTTGTCAAATGGGAACTTAATTTGCTGTGTAAACTTTCACTGAAAACACAATAAAATATGATCTTAAAAAATTTCTTTGGCTATTTGGGGTCCCTTGCTGTTCCATATAAATTTGAGGATTGAGTTTACCATTTCTGCAAAGAAGGCTGTTGGAATTTTGGTGGGGATTGCACTGAATCTGCAGATTGCTTTAGGTAGTACTGACATCTTAGCAATATTAAATCTTCTGATCTGTGAGCATGTAATATCTTTCCATTTATTTAGGTCTTCTTTAATTTCTTTCAGTAATGTTTTATAGTTTTCAGTGTAAAAACTATTTCACTTCCTTGGTTAAATTTATTCCAAGGTATTACATTCTTTAGGAGCCCTGGTGCTGTAATGGTTAAGAGCTTGGCTGTTAATCAAAAGGTCAGCAGTCTGAATCCACCAGCCACTCCTGGGAAACCCTATGGAGCAGTTCTACTCTGTCCTACAGGGTCGCTATGAGCTGGAATCAACTCGACGGCAATGGGTTTGGTTTTTTTGGTTTATTATATACTTTTAGATGCTATTGTAAATGAAATTGTTTCCTTAATTTTCTTTTCAACATGCTCATAGTTGGTATATAAAAACATGACTGACTTTTGTGTGTTGACCTTGTATCCTGTCACTTCGCTGCATTCATTTATTACCTCTAGTAGATTTCTTGTGGATTTTTTTTTGGGGTCTTCTATATGTGTATTGGATCATGTCATGAGCAAAAAAGGATAGTTTTAGTTCTTCCTTCCTCATTTGGATACCTTTTACTTCTTTTTCTTGTCTAGTTGCTCTGGCTAGAATTTCCAGTACAATATTGAATAGCAGTGGTAAGCGGGGGCATATTTGTCTTGTTCCTGATCTTAAAGGGAAAGCTCTCAGTCTTTTTCCATTGAGTATGATGTTAAATGCAGGTTTTTCATAAGTGCTCTTTATTATTTTTGAGAAATTTCCCTTACATTCCTAGCTTATTGAGTGTTTTTATCATGAAAGGGTGTTGGATTTTGTCAAATGCTTTCTCTGTATCAATTGAGATGATCATGTGGTTCTTTTCCTTTATTCTATTAATGTGGTACATTATATTGATTGACTTTCTAGTGTTGAACCACTCTTGTATTCCTGAGATAAATTTCACCTGATTGTGGTGTATAATCCTCTTAATGTGCTTTTGGACCCAGTTTGCTAGTATTTTGTTAAGGATTTCTGCATCTATATTCATAAAGGATATTGGTCTGTAGTTTTCTTGTGGTGCCTTTGTCTGGCTTTGGCATCAGGGTAATGCTAGCCTCAGAAGAGGAGGGAAGAGTTGTCTCCTCTTCTATTTTTTTGGAAAAGTTAAAGAAGGATTGGGGTCATTTCTTCTATAAATGCTTGGTAGAATTCCCTAGTGAAGCCATCTGGTCAAGGACTTTTACTTGTTGGGAGGTTTTTTATTACTGATTCAATCTCTTCACTTGTTATAGGTCTATTGAGATCTTCTATTTGTTGACTCAATGTAAGAAGTTTATGTGTTTCTAGGTATTTGTCCATTTCATCTAGATTATCTAATTTGTTGTCATACAATTGTTCATAGTATTCTCTTATGATCCTTTTTATTTCTGTAGGGTAGATTATAATGTCCCCATGTTCATTTCTGATTTTACATATTAGCACCTTCTGTCTTTTTTCTTTGTTAGTCCAGCTAAAGTTCTTTCTATTTTATTAATCTTTTCAAAAACCAAATCTCTAGTTTCGTTGATTCTATTGTTTCTCTATTCTCTGTTTCATTTATCTCTGCTCTGATCTTTGTGATTGCCTTCCTTCTGGTTGCTTTGCTCTTCTTTTTCCAATTCCTCAAGTTGTAAAGTTAGGTTATTGGTTCATGCTGTTTATTTGTTTTTAATACATTTCTTTCATTGCAATCCTGCTGACTTTTAATAAAGTCCTTTTGAGAATTTAACCCTGCCCAGTGATACAAAAGAGGAGGGAGTAGGAGTTGAATTTTTCGTCCTTGGACCAAAGGTGCAAAATGGGATAGGCCAGTGTAAACGTGCTTTGTGATTAGTAAAAAGAAAAAGAGAGGACCCAAGGGGAAGGTGAAACTTGGAACTCAGATTAGGTGCCCTCTCCATTTGGAAAGTCTCTCTCTCTCTAAGATTCTTTTCTGGTCAGAGGTCAGTGCAATTTGTCTTTAGTTTGTTGTTGTTGGGTGCTGTCGAGTCCATTATAACTCACAGCGAGCAATCCTAGAGAACAGAGTAGAACTGCCCTATAGGGTTTCCAAGGAGCAGCTAGCGGATTTGAACTACTGACCTTTTGGTTAGCAGCCGAGGTCTTTACCACTTTGCCACTAGGGCACCTGTGTTTAGTTTGAACCTGAGTAATTGTTCCTTTAGAGGCTGCAACTGCCAAAGCCTCAGTCATCCCTGCTGCTAAAACGGGGAAATTTCAGGGACAGACCCTGCAAGGAATCTAGGACCCTTTTTCCTAGGCAATTCCTGGAACATGAGATGATGGTGATGATGGCAGCAGTGGCTGCTAAAATATACTGAGTGTTTCTCTGTGCCAGGCAGTGTTTTTCTGAGCATTTTCCCCTATCAGCCTGTGAAGTAAGTCTTAGTGCTGTGATCCTCTTACAGATGTAGAAACTGTCCACGGCCACAACCAATCAAAGATGAAGCCAAGGTTGAAACCCTGGGCAGTTTGACTCTAGACTTCACAGGCTTCAGTGTGACACTTGGCTGCCTCAATACAGATGACACAGCCTGTGGTCTCACTAGAAATAAAACGGTCTAGCTCTGTACTAGAGCCAAGGTGCTGGAACCCCTGGCTGAGGACCTAGACCCCCCGCAGGGGAAGTACAAATGGGGCAAGAGGTGGAGGCTCACCCAGATAGTCATTCCTCTTCTGGTTGATGTTCAGGATTTCTTTGATATTGTCAACAGCTGGCTTGGGAGAGCCTCCCATGTTGGACTTTCCTAGAATGGGAAGGCAAGGAAATCATTCACCTGGGTGGATGTCAAGATTCCCCAGAGCCCTGGAAGAATGAGGAAGCATCCATCTTGGAGCCCAAAACACACTTCTTATGTTAATTTTAAAATATACCATTTACTGAAATTTTCTACATTCCAAGCATTGGGTCAGGAGCTTCATATATTTTATCTCATTTAATTTTCATGATAAACCTAGGAAGTTTGGTTATTCTTATTTTATAGAAGAGAAAACTGAGTCTAGGAGAGTAACTTGTACAAATCAAGAGATGAATGACAAAATGACAGAACCCAGATCGACTACCCAGACTGCTCCTTCCGTCCACGCACCTCAACATCACTGTTCTCCAGCCATGTCTCCCCGTCTGTCTCTAGGTTACCTCCCAGCACATTTACATTAACTGCTTAAATTGCACTTCAAAAAATTGTGCAAGGAAAGGAGGGCAGCTATCATCATTGTCATTGTCATCATTGTTGTCATCATCAACATTATTTCTATCTTATAAGAAACTGAGGCCCAAAGTGGCAGAGGAAGAATCAGAATTCAGGTCTTCTGCCCCACACTGGTGCTCCTCTCACTATGCTAAACTCACTGTCAGAGACAATACTCACCATCTGTCAAAAGAATGACGGTATGTCGGATCTCCTGCCAGGCTGCTGTGTTCATAGCAAAGCGTTGCATTTGGTTATTCATCATGATATAGACACTATTCAGGGCCTCGTAGGTGTTGGTCCCAGTTCCGTTTTCATGATCTGGAATATGCCAAGAAGGACTGTTTTAGAAACTTCTCACCTATCACCCCAGGGAAGGGACTCACTCTATCCCCCAACCTTTGAAAATGTTTTTATTGTCTGCTTTGATAAACTCAGACCTTTGCCACACAGGTAGAGATTTAGCATTATTGCCTGTTCAAAGATTAAGTCTTTCCACCTTAGAAATGCTCATTGCATGACCCTCCCAGCCCCCAATAACACCACTCTAAAATCCCAAGATCCAAAGAACTTGGATTTTTTTTTAGCTGTTCACTACCTACCACTCAGGTAGTTTTACACACTGCGCACGTGGGTAATGACCTGGGGAGATTACATGTTGAGCCATGAAAACCAGACCTACTACTTAGGACACTCAGGACCATGTGGTTCTGGCATCAAGAAGGAGCTAAAGACCTGTATGATGCATTTGGACTTGTAACACTTCAAAGTAAGCCATGAGTTGGTGGAATTCGGGACTTCTCCACCAAGACCCTGGATTTGGAAGCCAATCCCCCTTGAGGAACCAAAGCCCCAGAGCGCAGGGACTTGAATGCCATTGAGAATCTGTCTGTAGGCACAGGGGTCATCTCCTCCTCTCCTATCACCTCATTTGATGACACTCATACCTTTATAGTTGGCGTTTTCCAGACTGCTGATCACTTCAGTTACATCCTGGGAGTTTTCGTGCAAGACAGACATGATGACTTTGGGCTTTGAGGCAAAGGTGATAATGGCGACTCTTACCTTGATCTCAAAGCTGAAGAGCTGTGAAAGGAAAGCAAGAGGCAGTGTGAGGGGCCTTAAAACCAAAGGAGAAATGGTAAGAGAGCAAGTAAAGGGCAGGAAAGGAGGTAGAGAACCTGGACTGAGACTGACAGAGGTATGATCCATGGGTAGGCACTTACTAACAACGGACGCTTAAAAGAAGCCCAGACATGAACATGAGCATGTACTCTCTTGACAGGCTCGCTCCTCATTTAACCTCACATCCACTCTGTGAGGATGGTATGATGGTCCCTATTGTATAGATGAGGAAACTGGAGCTAGTTACCCTGCCGCAGATCACACCACTTGTAAGAGGTGGAGGTAGGATTTGAACCCTGCCACTGCACCTCTGAGGCCATGTCTCTGATTGTTGCATTTTGCAGCCTCACAGCCTAGTGAGTTACTTGACTCTAAGTCCTAAGAGAGACTCTAAGGAGCACAAACACTACCTTTACTAAAACATTGTTGTTAATTTCCGTCAAATCGGTTATGACTCATGGCAACCCCATGTGTTATACAGTAGAACTGCTCAGTAGGGTTTTATTGACTATACAGAAGCAGATTACCAGGCCTATCTTATGTGGTACCGCTAAAATATAGCTGGAACGAAAAACATATACCTACATAAATTATCAAAAAAAGCATAATTACAAAGCAAAGTGCCGGTGAGGAATCTAAACCAGTGGACTCCGAACTCTTCTGTTTGTGCATCCCATTGATAAAACCATTTTGAGCATATCTCAATAGAGGTATATGTATGTATAAATGATCAAGTGGGTCACTATTCAAATATTGTTGCAGCCACTGTTGCTGCAACAATAGGCTGAAGCATAACAATGATCATGAGGATGGCACAGGATCGGACAGTGTTTCGTTCTGTTGTACATAGCATCGCTATGAGTCAGAACCGACTCAATGGCACCTAACAACAGCATTCAAATGTAGGCATGTTAAAACATACAGGACATGTCAAAATTTTTAAAGGAAGAGATAAAAATCTTTAAATAGAGATATCACTATTCTTTCTGCAACACTCCAGTGGATTATCTTGTGTCCCCCTTTGTGGAGACCACTGGTCTAGACAATGAATTCGTGGAAAGTAAGACCTCGGCCTTGTTCATCTTTGGTTTTCCCCAGCACCCAAACCAACCAACAAGTTGCTGTCAAGCCAATTCCAACTCATGGCAACCCCATGTATGTCAGAGTAGAACTGTGTTCCATACGGTTTTCATGGCTGCAACCTTTCAGAAGTAGATCGTCAGGCCTTTCTTCCAAAGCACATCTGGGTGGGTTGGAACCACCAACTTTTCGGTCAAGCACATCAACTCTTTGTGCCACCCAAGGGATTTGCCCCCAGCACCCAGTGAAGTGGCTGACACATAGCAGGTGCCCTGACAGTGCATGCAGAATGAAAAATATAATTATATAACTTATATCTATGATTCCTACATGATATGAGAATAATCTGGAAAGATTTCTTAGAGAAGGTGGGCTGGGTAGGTATGCAGGAAGAGAAGGAAGCAAAGAGAAATAGTGAACGCGGGAAGGCCTCCCTGCATGCAGGCTCCTAATTCCTGACCCTGTCCACCATGAGGGTAGCGCAAGCCTTGAAGGTGTGGAAGTTGTCTTCTGTCACACTCTGAGAGGCATCCAGGAGCAGGTAGAGGTTCAGGTGACCAGAGCGCTGGATTTGGATTTTACGGCCCACATTTTCTGGGAGAGATGTAGAAGGTAAGGCTTCAGATCTCCATCTCCTACCTACACTCTCGCCAAGGAGGCCGGGGCCTCCCTGCCTCCCCTCCAGTCAGCTCAGCCTCCACTGAGCCCACCCGAGGCTCCCCAGCCTCCAGGAAGCTCCTTCCCTCCCCTGTACTCTGCCGCCCCCGCCTGAAGTGCTCACCAGTCTTCTTCTGGGTGGGATTGGTGGCTCCAAGTATGTGGGACAAAGAGGAGCCCAGGGCAGGGGCCACATCTTCAGGGAAATCATAAGAGTAGGGTTCTGTGGGAAGAGCCACACAGGGGTCAGCGGAGCAGGGGTGGCGGGGATGCTCAGGAGTCTCAGGAGGGGTAGAGCAGCTACTCACGGCGGCAGATGGGCTCCGTCCCACTCCAGACCCCATTGTCCTGGCACTCCCGCTCCGCGGATCCCGTCAGCACCAGGTTCGAGGAGCAGCGGTATTTGACTTTGTCACCAAGACCAAAGCGGGAGCCTGTCCTCACTGCACCCACTGAAATACCCGGGTTCGCGCAGTGGCCATCTGTGAGTGAACAAAAGAAGACAGAGGTGAGCAGGCCACCCCAGCCTCCTCTGGCCTCTCAGCCCTGCTCACCACCATCTCCCTCCAGGCTCTTCCTCTTCTCCAGACCCTCAGAGTCTCTGAGACTCCTTTGGCTTCCCCCTTGGGAGACACTAGAACTATGCTTCCCAGGGGTGTAAATAGAAAACTTAGTGTAGGGCAAAAAGTCTAGAACTCAGCTGCCTAAGTTGCCAGTTGAAGCACCTCAATCTCAGCCCCAACCCCAGGGTAGCCCGTGTCCCAGAGCCCCAGGAAATATGTCAGCCGATGAGCCCTACACCTCTGCCAAAAATATTTGCATTTCATAAAGCCACAATGAGACATCACTATACACCCACCAGAATGGCTAAAACTAAAAAGATGGATAATTCCAAATGTTGGCAAGGATTTGGAGCAACCAGAACTCCGTTATATCGCTTGGGTGTCAACTGGTGAAAACATTTGCCACCCTAAAGCTAAACATACGCCAACCTGTGACAAATAATTCCACTCCTAGATATTTACTCAAGAGAATCAAGTACGTATACGCACCAAAAGACACCTACAAGAATGTTCATAGAGCTTTATTTGTAATAGCCCCAGACTGGAAACAAACCAAGTGCCCATCAACAGGAGAATGGATGAATAAATTATAGTGTATTCATATAGTGGAATACTACACAGCAATAAAAAAGAACTACTGTACTGATACAGACAACATGGATGAATATCACAGATATAATGCTGAGTGGAAGAAGATAGATACAAAAGAGTACATTCTGTATTGTTTCATTTATATGAAGTTCAAGAATAATTTAAACTTATCTATGGAGTTAGAAGTCAGAAGAGTGGTTACTTTTGGAGAGGGGACTTACTGGGTGGGAGTAGGAGTGAGCCTCCTGGGATACTGGAAGTGTTCACTACCTTAGTGGTGATTACATAGGTAGATACCTATGTAAAAATTCATCGAGCTGAAACTTAAGATTTGTACACTTTACTGTAGGTAGATTATACCTCAATTTTAAAATAAATTACATTTATGTTTATAACAGATGGCTACTTGGGAAACAGTCATGGGCATGAGTAGGGAGCAATCAGTTGGGCCGCTAGGTGAGGGTACAGTTCTGCCATCTTGAGGACTCTGTGTTTTCTGTGTTACATGCTCAGAACCATGATCCTGGAAGCACCCAAAGTCCACAAGCAAATGTGTCTCTGGGGAGTACTGGGAGCCCGACTTCTGTCGAGCAGAGCCCTCACCACTGACAAAGGCAGTGATAGTAATGACAAAAGTGCATGTGGCACCTCTGAGAGTCCAGGGGCTGTTCCAGATGCTTACTGATATTGACTCCTCTAATCCACATGGCAACCCCATGAGGTCAGCACTATTACTGTCCCCATTTTACAGATGCAAAGACTGAGGCATATAGAGGTTAAATAACCTTCCCAAAGTAAAGGGCAGAGTCAGGCTTTGAACCTAAACCTGACTCCAGAGGCAAGGCACTTAGGCACAATACTCGGCTCTCTCAATATGTCTGTGAATAATCTCTGGGGCCTGGATACTAGGTCTTGCTTTGAGGCATTTAGAAGAGCTGAACAGAGCGTTTGGAGCCTTTGTGTTGAACCTGAAGCATATCACAAACTGCAGACAAGTGAGTGTATGACCTGTAGACCTCCATTTACCAAAATCCAGGAATATTACTGGGCACACTGGGAACACCAGGCCCCAGCCCTTAGTCAGGGTACTCACCGCCGCTGTCACACACGGCTGTCTCTCCATCCCACATGCCGTTGGGGAGACACCATCGCACAGGCGAGCCCCGCAGTGTAAACCCATCCTCACACTCAAAGCTGAGGTTTCCGCCCACAGGGTGGGATCCCAGGCGTGGGGTGTACATGCCATTCTCAAAGGAAACAGGGGCTGGGCAGCGAACAACTGGAGTGAGGGAAGAGAGGGGTGTGTGTTGGAGGCGAAGTGCAGAGGTGGGTGGTTAATGATTGGGCTAGGCATCAAGTGGGTGATGTTCAGCAGAGCTACGTGGGAATGGCCACCTGATTGTCAAACTATTGAAATATCAGGTTGAAACACATGAAATTGCCATTTTTGACAACTGGTTAAATATTGACAATTTTACCCAGTTCAACCTCGTTGAGCCTCCCTCAGCACCCTGAGGGCCATGGCTTCCCCAGCCCCTCCCCTAGGGTCTTCAGGTGTCCCCGTGACTGGGTAACTGAAGAAGAAACACCTGGCACAACAGGAGGCTCCAGGACCCTGCTCCACTGGCATCCACTCTGAATGCTCAGTATTGCCCAGTCATTGTTAAGTATTTTAAAAATTTTCCCTGACTTTGTTTCCCCACAATCTCCATCAGAGCCTGCCCCCAATTCCTTGCTATGGACCACTGACAATTCCGAATGTTTTGAGAGGAAAAAAAAAAAAAAACCGTTGCCACCAAGTTGATTCTAACTCATGGAGACCCCCTGTGTTGCAGAGTAGAACTGCACCATAGAGCCTTCTTGGCTGTAATCATTATGGAAGCAGATCACCAGGCCTTTCTTCTGCAGCACCTCTGGGTGTATTTGAACCACCAACTTTTAGGTTAGCAGCCTATTGAAAACCATCTGAGCCACTCAAAGACCATGTACTTTGAAAACCGCTCTGCAAAAGCAGCTTCGCCATCCTTCCCACCCTTTCCAGCCAGGTCAAGCCCAACCCTGAGCAACTTCTTAATAGAAGTTCTGGAGTGGCCACTGGTGGGGGCGCCCTGAACAAGGCCTGGGGGAACCTCACATTTGCAGACCGCCTTTGTCAGCCTGGTGGCTCCAGGGGCCTGCCACTGTCTGTTGCTCTTGCACAGTAGCGACGCAGGGGATGGGTAACGGCCCAGAGGGCAGGAGTAGGTGAGGAGGCTCCCAGGGGCCCAGCCGTGACTGAGGGTGAAAGTGCCTCCAGAGATATTCACATTCCGAGGGCAGGAGGGAGTGACTGCAGCCAGGCCTGTGGGCATGAGGACACAGAGACAGAAATGGGGGAAAGAAGAAAGGCACAGATGAGAAAAAGAAAGCAAAAGATTGTCCATTTCACACGTGGGAACTCAACCTGGGTAGCACCAGCCTCATCTGCGGGACCCCAACACCACCCCTCCGCTGCCTCCTACCTGGGTACAGGGGCAGCAGGCAAAGGAGAGCCACCAGAGGGTCCATGGTGTCCACCTAGGGGCAGAGAGAGGCAGACACTGGGAAGGGAAAGGTCATCTGACTTCCCGAAAACCAGAGCTAGCTCAGCAGGCACTTCATTTGCTGCCACAGAAGAGAAACTAGGGAGTGGCTAGGCAAAAGTTCTCTTGTTAGGGAAATAATCAGGGGTTGGGGACTGAGTTGAGGAGGCTAGGACTTTGCCCTGTCCCCTTAATCCAGTATATCCAGAGTCAGTCGATCTGCACCACAGGTTTTGTGTGTTCTTCCCAACCTACACACACACACACACACACACACACACACACACACACACACACACACACACACACACACACACCCCCACACACCCACCCATGCTCTTGCATTAACAGTCTAAAGCACACAGACCCACAAACCATCCAAGACATTGAAAAACATTTTATTTAAGTACAGTTTCTGTTTTCTTTTGGGTTTTGCCAAGTGAATTTTACTTCCTGAAAGCCGAGGACAGTGCTGTCTTCTTGAACATGAGGGACTAAGACTAATTTTCTTAGAGTTTCTTGACAAATAGGAAGATTCACGATCTTCTTCTTCCCTGAAGCCCTTCCCCAGGGAGTATCTACTGGTAAAAATGAAATCAGCACTTAGTTTTGGAGACTGGAAATTGTTTTAGAACATTGTTACAAAAGTCCAGTAAATAAAATTCCCAGCTTACAAAATAAATCAATTTGAGATTTGTTAGTCTTCTCACAAAAGTATTTTAGGATGGAAAATTTGGGAATGGATAAGGATGTTGGTTGAACAACATGATGAATACAATTAATGTCACTGAACTGTACATGTGAAGATTGTTGAAAAGACAAGTATTTCACTACATATACGTTTACCATAATAAAAAATAAATTTTTTTTAAAGTTTTTTGGGGCTTGGGGTGTGCCTTTAAGTTACAACCTACACCTGTATGGAAGACAAGAAGCAAAGAAACTTGAGACTAGTGTGTTAGCCTCCCTACTCCATGGAAGTCACTTTAATGTTTTTTGGAACAATGTAGGGTATAAATAAATAAAATCAATCAAAAATGAAGATGCAACATCTCTGAAGTGATCATTTACGTTCAGGAAAACTTTTCTGATTTACAAATAACTTCTTAGAAACACATATACATAAAGTGAGGCTCACCTTACACAGGATGGAGTGTCCTGAAGATGGTGACACTCCTGGGGTTGGGGGTCCCCAAGCTGCTACTGTGACAGAACTGCTGGTGCCACCCTCCCCTCATACCTGTTATCCTTTCTTCTACAGTAACTCAGCTGAAGATCACATTCCCCAGCCTCCCTTCCAGCTAAGTTGGCCAGGTGACTTGATTCTGGCCAATGGGATGTGAGTACATGGTGCAATGGATCACTTTTATATGGCCTTTCTCACCATGGTCTTGTAACTCCCACCAAATGGCTGAGTTGGGACTATGCAAATGAGGTTCTTGTGGCCCACCAGGGGGATTGGATAGCTTGCTAATAATGCAGATAAGGTGTTTGGCACCCTCAGAGGGGGATCATGCAAATAAGGTGTATGGAACCCTAACGAGAGGATTGGTCAGTTTGCCATCCTGCTAGGCTTAAAATGAGCCATCCTAGAGGCAGATGGGGGGAACTCACTACCACCAAAAAGGAAGAGCTAGGAGTGGAGCACATCCTTTGGACCCAGGATCCCTGCACTGAGAACCTCCTAGACCCAGCAGACAGAGAGAGAGAGAGAGAGAGCTATAACACTGGAGACGGCAAGAGACAGCAAGTAGGAGGGGCAGAGAAACTGCAGCAACAGAGGCAGCAGAACCAGGAGACTGTCAAGAGACAGTGCAGTGGGCTTCCCAGCCCATGGAGCAAGAAAGCTGAGTGCCTTCAGGCGGGAGACTTGCTGGGGAAGTGGGACACCTCCGGGCACTTGTCGACAAAGCTAGGCTTGCCGACCACGGAGCTAAAGAGCTGAGTGTCTTTGGACCAAGGCTTGCTGGCAGAGTGGGGTGCCTCTGGGCACTTACTGGTGGAGCTAAAAAGCTTTGTAACCCTTGCCCTAGCAGGACAGAGGCCAGGCTGGCCCAAGAGGTGTGAGGGGTCGAAGGGCCAAGGGCCAGAGAGAGGCCTGCCTGCAGGCACAGCTGAAAAGAGTCTGTCCTGATCAAAGGACTTTATCCTGAGTCACTCCTGATCCTGAATTGTAACCTGTTACTTCCCTTAATAAACCCCATATCTGAGTATTTTCTGTGAATTCTGTGTAGCCATTGCAGTGAGTTACCGAACTCAGCAGAGGAGTAGAAACTGCTGTGGGAGGGAAGGCTGGTGTCAGAACTGGTAAAAAGTCTGGAGAGAGGGGGTATGTCTGACCTCTGCTTCGTAGGAATCAACGTTGGGCTGATGCTGATGGTGATTTTCTCTCCTCCTTGTGAAGTTAGAGGAGGTCAGACACCGCTGCCACGCCATTCTTACAGAGCAGAACGGATGTTCAGACTTCCAAGCTATGACCCTAAAATACAAAAGCATGCCCTGCTCTTCCAAAGGGCTGGAATATAAAGCTGGTGGTGATCTGGCTTCTGCCATGAAGATGAGGGCAACATCCAGGAAATGACAGAGCAAACAAATGTAGGAGCCTGGGACCCTTACACTGTGTTGATGCCATGCCAGCCCTGCCCCACTTACTCAGATTGTTACAAGAGAGAAATGAATGACCCTAAGTGTGGTGGGCATTGGGGATGTTGACAAATATTCTGGCTTTGTCTACTTTCAGGCCCATAGTAGGATTGAGCCTCCCCACCCATTTGCTTTGGCCAGTTGGGGATTTTGACAAATATTCTGGCTTTGTCTCCTTTCAGGCCCATAGTAGGATTGAACTACCCCACCCATTTGCTTTAGCCAATGAAATGTGCACACAAGTGACGTGTTATCACTGTGATGGTAAAGATTGTGTGTCAACTTGGCTGGGCCATGATTCTCAGTGTTTTAATGTAATCACTCCCATGATTGAATATACTGTGAGTAGCCAATCAGATGAAAGGGAGTCTCCTTGGGGGTGTGGCCCCCATCTG